CATGTTTTAGTTGGACTTATACATCTTATAGAAAAATTGTACAAAGGCTAATACGTGTTGTGACTGAGTTTGTACATAGTGTACTCGTATTTTTGTATGTTTGATTTAGGTCACTGTTATGTGAACAAATCTCGTTCAAATTATATTGTAAATTGGTAACTCATCTTCCATCGAGATAAATGAATGATTTCTTTGTGTGTTTTTAAAAAGAAAACTCTTGTTGACCACTTTAAAAATTGAAAGAGTCCCTTTCATGAACTACTAGTTTGATGTGTGTATAAGCTCAATATCTTTCAATGTTTAGATTTACTAGACATTAATCTGGTGGAATCCACAGTCTAGCTATAGCATGTGACCATTTTCTTATTTCAATTTTGTTGATAAATGTTTCTAGATTTGAACGTAAGGGATAAAAACCCAAAGAAATATACATTTTATGGTTCAAATGTGAAAAAAATTGTTAGTATTAACATATATATCCATGATTCCATGGGACCATATGGTCTTTGGAAGATAGATTAGTTTACAAAAGTGAGTGTTTTTGTTTTAACTGACAAAACACGTAGCTGTGCTGCGACACGTGTTTGTTAATATAAATATAGTGTTGTATGCTAATTGCTAAATCAACAATACTAAAATATTTTGTTTATACTACTAAATGGTTAAGCAACAACTGCATTAGAAGTAGTTTTGATTTGGGGAAAGAAAAAAAAAAAAAAAAAATATATATATATATATACACAAAAAAAAAAGAGGAAATATGTTGATGCAAACTTTATATATTATATAAAGACTCAGTTGAGTCTCACAAGCTTGACACATCAGCATTCATTTTTTTGACACATCAGATTAAAAAAAATTATGAGAAAATTACATAATTAAATTATACTAATTTCGTTTTTAATTGAACACAAAAACCGAAAGAGAAGTACATATTAATTTATGGTTCATAATAAACTACAAATTAATTTTATTTTGGAAATTGGAAAGATGGAATCTCAAACAATCTCCAATGCTTTCTAATATCGACTCAAAATTCCACAAATCAATAGGTAAAATTTTTATTCTTCGTCTCCTTTTTGATTTATGGGTTTTTGAAAACTGTATTATATTTTTTGTATTGAATTAATTCTGGTTTTGTTTACATAGACATTGTTCCATTTTCTTTGTATAAAGGCATATCCACCGATGACAACCTTACCACCGGGACAAAGGGTTGAGACTTGAAGTGTCGGGCAGAAAGCAAAATACGATTTGGTGAAGATATTAAATTTTTCTTATAAAATATCTATTATATAAAGACTCAGTTGAGTCTTACAAGTTTGACACATCAGCATTCATTTTTTTGACACATCAGATTAAAAAAAATTATGAGAAAATTACACAATTAAATTATACTAATTTCGTTTTTAATTGAACACAAAAACCGAAAGAGAAGTACATATTAATTTATGGTTCATAATAAACTACAAATTAATTTTATTTTGGAAATTGGAAAGATGGAATCTCAAACAATCTCCAATGCTTTCTAATATAAAAATTCCACAAGTCAATAGATAAAATTTTTATTCTTCGTCTCCTCTTTGATTTATGGGTTTTTGAACTCTGTATTATATTTCTTGTATTGAATTCATTCTGGTTTTGTTTACATAGACATTGATCCATTTTTTTGTATAAAGGCATATCCACCGATAACAACCCTACCACCGGGACAAAGGGTTGAGACTTGAAGTCTCGGGCAGAAAGCAAAATACGATTTGGCGAAGATATTAAATTTGTCTTACAAAATACATATTTTTATCATTAAAAATTAACTAACAAACAAAAAAACAGGTTGAGAAAAATAATAATGAAGATATATTTGGTTAGGTGCAAAAATAAAAAGTATTACATCTACAAAAAAATAATGACTACATTTTTACGAATTCATATGATATTCATATTACCAAATACAAAAAAATTAGATTAAACTTATAAAAAATGTCTATTATTAAATTATATTAAAACAAAAAATCATATTTAATGACTATATTTTTACAAATTTGGATGATATTTTATATTATTAAAAATAAAAAATAGATTAATTTTGTAGAAAAATAGAATTTTATAATGTATATTAAAACAAACAAAATACCTGCGTGTACACGCGGGTATTCATCTAGTATATTATAAAGTTTGCATCAACATATTTCCTCTTTCTTTTGTGTTTGGCTCTATGAGTTGAATTGTCTCCTTGATATATGAGTATTTTTTGGAAGTTAACATATTAAAATTGTTATTATTATTTATTAGAGACGGGAAATAAAAGTTGAGGAGGAGATGTCATTAGGAAGACGAAAGAGAATGGAAAAGCGTGGAAGGAGCAAACTGAATCAAAATCTTCTGTGTGTGTCCCACTCGTTAACGCGTCTCGTCTCAACAATTAAACATGACTCTCAATTTATTATTAGCTTCAAAATAATGTTAATCATCATTAACATCTAAGAAATAGAATCGAACAAATCAAGTTTATGATAGCAATTTCACGACTAACAAAAAAGTGTAGCATTGTAATTTAAGTTTACTTATTTTGATAATTTAATTACAAAAATATTTACACCTGAAACATTTTGGTTAGATTATGGTTAATGATTTTATATTTTGTTCAACGTATTTATTTTTCTAATATACCAAAAATCCGTTTAATTGCAAAAATAGATATAGATTAAACAAATATTAGTAAGAAAATTCGTTTTGAATCTACTCTTACATAATTTGATTGCAAAAGTATAATATAACAATTTTCTTTTGGGTTTTAGGTCAAAAGGTCATTAAACTCTATGAACAGTTGAATTGAATAGTGTAGTTGTTAAATATAAATTGAATTTTCATAGTTGTATGATTTGAAGAAAAAAAAGAGAGTGCATGTTTTACAAAATCATCATTGATGGTTTTGATTTGTGAAAGAGTGAAAAAAGGGTGAGTATCTCTACTAAAATAATAAGAAACTCTAGGGTCTTTGAATTTTTGCGTATAAAGAAAAGAAAGAAGATGAAATAATAAAATGAATTAAAAGAAAAGGAGGGAAGGTGGAGCAGTGAAGAGAGCGCAGAGAAGCAAGTGCCAATCTCTTTCCCTTGTCTCCTCCTCTTACCACACCTATCGAGACACCTTCCTCTCTCTCTCTCTCTAATCCCTTTTCTTTTTTCGAAAAATATAAATTAATTATTCTCTTCTTTTTTTTTTTCTTATCGATGCGTTTCGAATTTGAATTGCTATTTTGTTCCAAATTCTATAACTACTTCGAATTATTCTAAATTCAAATAAAAACTAAAAGTATTCAAGGTGCACAACACAAAACGATATGACGTTAATCACAAATAAAGTCTCGATCACATAAACAATATATAAATTTATTTATTTATTTTTTTTCGTAACCTATATAAATTTATTTTAAGAAATCCTATGGATGTTGGTTACCAAAATTAATTATATGCAGCGATTGTTTAGTCCAACCCAAAAAATAATAATCATATTGTAATGTGTTTGATTATGCCCGTGAAATGATAGAATTATTAGAAAATTAAAGTAATTTGAATGCACTTCATGTATAATTAACAAATATTGGTTAGCTATCGATAATTTTGCATGGTAATTTTGAATAATATATATAACGTGCAAGAAAACTCTTCTAGATGGTTAAATTTGTTTATCGTGGGAGGAGAAAGGAAACAAACGTCGGTTGTGCTAAGACTAGATAAATATAGAGTATGTGATTTGTTTTTTTATTTTTTATTTTTGAACATCACGAGTATGTGATTTGTTTATTAGGAAGAAAACGAAGCTATCTTATTGCGAGTCTCAATAACATGGCCTAAAAGTTTTTGTGAAGACAAAAATGATTTTTTCCTCCCAAAAACTCCAAAGCTCAAATCATATTATGTTAATGTGTTTAGACGAGAGTTTTTACAAAAAAAGGTGGTTTATAATTATGTTAGACTTTAGTAATGTCCAATCTAATCAAAATTTGATGCAAGTTATAAAGGAGAATATTGACTTCCAAAATAGGGTTGAAACTATCCAAAATGCGATATTGATCATAAGAGATCGAATCAAGAGGAGGAAATGGCAGCTGAATGATCGAAGGATTGAATTTGCTCCTTCCGAATATGATTATGAGTGCATATGAATTGTTTCTGAGTAGATGAATCAATCGTCCTCTTCTCTTAAGATGACCCAACTTTCTCCACTTTTCTAAATGGTGAGATAACATTTATATGTGTTATCATCTATCTTGATTAGAAAGCCATATCATGTGTAATGTATTTTTGGATTGGATCAATCAAATCTAAGACCTAAGAGATTGACAATTGCTTTGGTGTTGGTGGTGATCAAATTGTTTTTCATAGTTCATTTGATTTGATAGGATTTCAGTCGTCTAATGAGTGTGTTTTTTTTTTTACAATAAAGAGTAATTTAGATTTTTACCATTCGATTATTTTTTTTGGATGAATGATAACATCGACTAATCCATTTATCGGATTTTCAAATATGTTTGTCTAATCAGCGTGTTTTATATATTTATATTATAGATATTTGAATAATTTTTTGGATGAGTGATCGAATCGACTAATCTAATTATCAGATTTTCAAATAAGTCCGTCTAACCAAGGTGTTTTGCATAGTAATGTAAATGAGTTTTTAACCCGAATTGCAACGTTACAATGAAGAATAGAAATATAGCAGCTTTCATAAGTTGTTACGACTCAAATAATTTTTCGACACAAATTCAAAACAGAAAAAAAGATAAACGAAAAGAAGAGAAGCAAAATGATAAGAAACCGAGTTGGTCGGTCTTGTGGGGCGGGCGTGAAGGTAGAGAATTCGAGAGGAAGAAAAAAAAAAAATTCCAAACCATTTTTCTATATATTAATTTAAAAAAATTAAAAATATCACAAAAACCAGTAGTTTGAAAAATAAATAAAAATATTTGAATTTAAATAATAAAGAAAAAGCTTTTGTGTTGAGAAGAGAGAGTTCCCTATCTCCATTGCTCACCATCTCCATCTCCCCCTCATCTTCCTCTCAAATAACTTCCTCCATTATATTTCTTCTGGGTTTTCTCTACATCTTTTTTCCAATCTCGGTATGAGGAGAGGAAGAGGCTCTTCCGCCGTCGCCGTCGCCGGACCCACCGCGGTTGCCGTCACCGGCGCCGTCATCGGAAACCACAACGGATCTCTCAAGGAGACTCGATTCAGAGGCGTGAGGAAGAGACCTTGGGGTCGATTCGCAGCAGAGATCCGTGATCCATGGAAGAAATCTCGTGTTTGGCTCGGTACTTTCGATTCCGCCGAAGAAGCCGCACGCGCTTACGACGCCGCCGCGAGAAACCTCCGTGGACCAAAGGCCAAAACCAATTTCCCGATTGATTGCTCTCCTTCTTCTCCTCTACAACAACAACAACATCAGAATCTGCGATTCTCCTCTTTCCCGACGAATCAAATTCAAAATCAAAACCAGGTCGATCCGTTTATGGACCATCGGTTATACGGCGGAGTTTCTTTACACCTCCCGGAGCAACAGTATCCGATTGTTAGCCGGCCGACGAGCAGCAGCATGAGCAGCACCGTCGAATCGTTTAGCGGACCGAGACCTACGGCGGCGAATAAACCGCCGTCGACGACGAAGAGATATCCTAGAACGCCTCCTGTAGTTCCGGAGGATTGTCACAGCGATTGCGGTTCGTCATCGTCTGTTATTGACGACGGAGACGACGATCTCGCTTCGTCTTCTCGTCGGAGAAATCCGCCGTTTCAATTCGATCTTAATTTCCCACCGTTGGATGATGTTGATTTTTTCAACGGCTCAGATGATCTTCACTGCACCGATCTACGTCTCTGATTGAATGGGGGTAACAAACAATAATCACAGATCCATGATTTGATGATTTGATGAAAGAACACCAAAAAATATTATCCCCTTCTCCAATTTTTTTTTCAACAAAGAAATTTTTATTTTTTGTTTTAGTTTCTTTTTCTTTGATCTCATAATATTTTTAATATGCGGGAGAAATAGAAAGAAAAGAAGAAAGGAAGAAGAAGAAGAAGAAGAAGATGAAGATGGTAAAGGCTTGTGCTGTTTTCTGTTTCTTCTCTGATGAATATTTGTAAGAGTATCGATATGATTATTATTATTACATCTTCGAATCAAGAAGAGGAAAGACGAACGATGATCTGTGTTTGTTTGTTTACTGTAAGAAGAAAAACAGATCTGGGGTTTTCGTTTTTCTCATCTGTTTCTTAAAAAAGATCCAACCCTCTTTGTAACATATACATTTGGAACTGATGATTCTGAATAATCAAAATCTAGAATCTTTCTTTAGATTTCTGTTTTAACTCTTGTTCTTCAACTTCATGAGCTCTGCAAAAATTGTCGCATTACAATATACAAAAAGAACATCTTTTAGCTTTGATACGACTCAATATTTGATGGGTTTTGTTCATGAGTCATATATTCCACAGAGATGGTTTAAGAAGATTTGGTTTCTTTACAATCATGGATGTTTAAAGTTTAAACCTTTCTGGGGAATTAAGCTAGAAGTAAAGACTATTCAAGTTTCTTAGCTCTTCTGGTATTGAACACGTTCGATTGTATAATGAGCAATGAGTGATTTGGATTTTGGGATATGAGCTATAGATATTTGTGCAAATCTTGAAAACGCTTAGATCTTAGGTTTTGAGTTCTAAAATTACCGTTGAAATTATACATTTATGAAAATATATTTTAAATTTGGCAAGGATATTTACAAATTTAATTATGGTTCCTAAATGATTTTGAAATTTGTTTTTTTTTTAATGGTATTTAGAAGTTGGTTAAGAGGTTTTTAGGTAATTGAGACAATGGTTTTGGTTGAGTTTGGTGGGTAAAATGATGTTTTCGATATTAAATTTTGGGGGAGAGGGATTCGGTGGAAGGCAGATTCGTTTCGTGTTTGACTCATTTAGATTAGATTTTGCGTTCGGCGTTACCCTCAAATTCGGGTATCTACTTTACTTTTTCTCTGCCACCGTTCAGACACTACACTTTGTTAAACGACCTTTGGGTCTTAAAACTAAACCACAAGTTTCAAGTTTCTTTTTACTGTTTTCTTTTAATTATTACTTTTTCTGTTAAATCTTGTAACGTTTGCTAGTTACAACAAAAAAAATTACTAGAACTGGAAAATGATAATAAATCTAAGAAAAACATACGTAATGTAGTTGCAGCGGTTTTGCAAAATTGTATGATTACTATATCGATTCTATCATTCAATCATTTCGTGGATTAACAATCAAACTTTAATGTAAACTGGAACCTACAACCTAGTCATAATTTCGATAAAGGACCCAACTAGTTTTTGACCAAAAAATAAAAGAACCGAGTTAGTTAGTTGGTTTGATAATGGGCTTGGGCTGTCCATGCTTTTGTGTTCAGGGTTTTTTAAATACTTGGCGGTTGGCCTGCATCAGAGTTGGTCCAAAAGAATCCAATGTGATTAAACCTTTTGCTAACTTTGTACAGTGATTATTATGTTCAAGTTTAATTATTTTCTATGTAAAGACCTAATACTGTTTAGTACCCAGTGAATTCATAACGTAGCGTATAACCAGGAGTAATAAAATACGATCAACGTAATGAACTGATAAGCTTTTTTGCAAAAAAAAAAAACAAAAACGTAATGAGCTGATACATAACTAACTCCATGTAAGTCATGATAAAAAAAAAAAACTATTGAGTTTGCGTTTACGTTTTGTTTTGTTTTGTGTTGTAACAAGTGCACTACAAGAAAACAAAAATTTAGCGACTTCAAATATAGTTGTTAATTAGTCGCTAATAGTATATTTACGACCGAGTTCCGACTAATCCAATTAGTCGCTACTATTGAGTCGCTAAATACAATAGTCGTTAATCAGTCGCCAAATACCAACTGAATAACGACTAAATATTGATGACGTGAATCAGTCGCAAATCAGTCGTTATAGTAGCGACTGGATCACGACAACTTTTGTGACGTATTTATGACTGAATAGCGACGATATTATTTCGATATTTGAATGGTACTTTGGTGCAATTTAACAACTGTTTAGTGACCAATTTAGGACTACTTTCCGACTGATTTACGACTGCGTTGCGACGGTTTTAAAAAATGAAAACACATACTGGTATTACGATTTGATGTCTCCTAATCTGATAATTTGAATCCATTTATAGATTTTTAATAAGAAATAAATAGCAAAAGAAGTCATTCAAATGTAAACAGCAAAAAAAGTCATTCAAATTACATAATACCATTGTTCAAAAATGGAGACTTATACAACCATGGTTCAAAATGAGTTACTAACACCAAAGACCAAATGGTTACATATTTAACCATTTAGATAAGTTCAAAAGAGTCTAAAAGAGCCTAGATACTTAAAAAACAGAGACGTAGAAGAACCTATGTTTCTGGGGTCGGATTAGAGCTTGTAGCTGCATGAGTCGGATCACTTGGAAGAGTTTGATTTGCAGCCAAAAAATCCATGAACTCTGGATCAGTTTCAGTCAAATACCTTTCCACCATAGATAATTTTTCCAGCTTGGCTTGTTGATCTGCATCACGCTTGGAGTTCTCAGCCGCTTGTTCTTCTATTTTGCGATGAGCTTCTTGTAGAAGTTCTTCCAGTCCCTTGTATGTTGAAGAGCTTCCTGGGCATTTCCTCTTTCCATTGACATGCTTCTCTGAGAGGTTTCCAATTCCATAAGGAATTCTTCGCTCATTTATGAAAGTCGACTGCAAAACAAAATAAGGATCAAAGCACCAATGCATATATATTAACATCAAAGCATCAAACAAAGTAACAACTTGAAATCTAAAGAATCAAAGCATAATATATATAAAAAAAACACAACACAAAAAAGACTTTACCTGAAGAAAAATCTCATTATGCTCTTCTACGGATAGCCCCAACGATGGTGAAATACCATCTGAAGTCTCTGAATCTATCCCGAGATCAGCCAACTTGGATTCCATGTTCTTCCTATATGCTTCAGCCACAGTCTTGAACTTTTGGTCTACAAATGTTCTATCTCGTTTTGTATGAACCTTGATGAAAACTTCACCAAGACTCACCGGTCTTCCTAACTCTTCTTCCTGAAATGATAACAATATGAATGAAAGAGTTACTTCCCATCATTTATAATTTACTAAAGATGATATATAACTTATCAATGAAAGAGTTAACCGATGATATACTTACCATTTCTTGTTAGATTTGGAGGCATGACTTCTGCCCTGAGAAGTGAACATGAGGACCAAGTCCATTACGCTCAGACATCCGAGCAGCTGATGTGGTGGCACTCTTTTCTTTGGCTTCTTCAGTGTCCCAATACTCTGTCATTTGTTTCCAAATATACCAATCCAGTTCGGTTGTTCTCGAGAAGCCCTAACCTTGCTCACCATGTCTTTCATCCGGAGTAGACATACTCTCTCAAACTTTTCTTGAACCACACCGGTTAATAAGGGATCCCAGGTGTGAGTTTTCTACAAGAAAAATAAAGAAGATGATGTTACTGAGCAATAAAAAAAAAATGGCTCATATGGATCAACACAAAAAAAAGGAGAATATGAATAGAGAACATTACCGCAAATTCAACAAAGTATCTTTCCTGTCTCTCCCGAAGCACACATGTCCAGCTATAGAATGAGCCATCAAACTTGTTTGTAAAAGCTTTTGTTATCTTCCGGGTAAGGGAAGACTTGTCACGCCCAAACCTGCAAACACAGAACAAAGCAAAGAAACAGTTACAGTCCATAACAATACTAAAGTAAGCTAGACACACAAACATGAGAATGTAACTAAGGAAAACAATGTTCCGGGTAAGCTAGACACACAAACATGAATAAAAAAAAACTTCAAACAATCATAACAATTCTAAGCTAGACAATCATACATTGGTGATAACAATTCTTATCTAAAAAAAACTTCAAACAATCATAACAATTCTTATCAGGAAATGTAACTAAGAAATCTAAACACTCTAAACTATGCAAAAACACAATCTACAAGTACAAACAACCTATACACCATAAACTATGCAAAAATCAGCGATTAAGAAAGGTACAAAATTAGGGTTTGTTAAATTCATACCATGTTGTGTTCGACTTCTTTATGGGAGAATGGACTGTGATGTATGCTTCCCTGCCAGGCTGAGTGAGCAAGGCATTAAGAATTCTGTGCTGGTCTTCCGCAAGATTTCCCCGTGAATAGAGTTTTTTCTTCTTCCGCGAATGCACTGTGACCTTCGGAGGGACAATTTTGAGCTTCAGAAGCTTGCTCGTGAGATCGAGGAGATGGTTGCTGTTGAGAGCTTGGAGAGGGCTGTTGTTGAGAGACTGGAGAGCTTCTTCGTTGCGGCTGTGAAGAGCCTAGATGTGGTTCAGACTGCGCTTCGATGTGGATTGTGCGAGCTTGGGAACAGCTGCGTCGGCGGCGGATAATCCCTCACGGATACTGACAGTTGCTGCGTGGGGACAATCGGCGGCGACGGTGAGGGCATGAAGTTGTAACGACTTGGCAAAGGCGACAACTTTCTGGCTTGCGACGAAGCCACACCTCCTCGGCCTCGTCCTCTCTTCCTACCAACACGACCAGGCATCCTATGATTGGAGATTTCTGGGGATTTAGGGCTAGAATCGAAGGAATTTGGGATTGAAGAAGAAAGGGATTTAGGGTTTGTTTATGTTTGTCGAGGAAAATTGGGAATTATGCTAAGTGTTTCGTGATGGTTATTTGGGCTAATGGGTTTGTTTATTTTTTTTTTTAATTTTGGGCCGAATTGTAATAACAAATTAGTCGCCAATTTCCGACTATTATATGTTAGTCGTGATATTAATTGTTATCTGCTGACTCCATTATAACCATATTAATTAGTCGCTAATTAGCGACTAATTTCTGACTGTTTTTTATGAGACGTAAATTGAAGGTAAATCAGTCGCTAATTAGTCGTAACATATAGCAACGGACATATCAATCGCTAAATTATGTCACTAATTAACTGTTTTTTTGTAGTGGACGTGTTTGAATTTACATGTTACTACAATTTTGCTGTTGTTGCTAAAGAAAATGTTACGAAAATTAGAATATTATAATCGAAAAACTCAAATGTAAAGTACACAAACACAAACATACACTCGATACCATAATTACATGGGATTTCAAGTTAGCAACATAATGGAATGCCAAAATGGTGGATAACATTGTAGAATGAAATAACGCATAATGAAAAGTTTTTGTGGAACCGAGATTGAGAGCATATGTAACATTTTCTTTTTTAGCTATGAGTGTTAAAAAAAAAGTATGGCATT